TAAGGATAGTCCCAGAACTAGAGTCTGACAAAGGCAGCAGCGGAGGTAGACCTTATTTGTGGGATTGTATCTGTGGTTAATTTTCATGAATGTATATTTGTTGCATCGTTTTAAGAAAAATAACAATTGTATCGCTGTAATACTAATAGAAAGGAAAATATTTTTATATAAAAACATACCTGATATGATGCATTTAGCAGGGCTCGTGTCTGGTTTCCATTTTCTTCATTGTTTGGAGTTTGAGAGCTATTTGGAGTGAAAACTATTAGGTCACTTTTTCGTTGCAATGAGTTTGAACATACTCTGTACTGAGTTTGTTGGGAGTATACCCAACTACCTCCAGTGTTTGAGCAGATCTTGTAATTTTCCTTCAGGTCTTTCACTTCATCTCTGCATTTTTGCCATCTTAAAATAGTGAAGGCAATTAGTGTAATGAGAAATACACTTGATATTACACAGATGGCAACAACTAAGTAGATATTTGCTTCAGTAAATTCATCTGTAATTCTTTTGGATTCCTGATTATCATATAGAATTTTCCTCTCCAGATTCCACCAAGGAGATCACAATTTCTGTAACAACTGTCATGACTGGCTCTCCATGGTCTCGAGCCACCACCATAAGTCTATATTCTTCATTATCTGAATCTGTAAAGGGACGTTTTAAACTGATTTCTCCTGTGTGCTGAGATATAACAAATGGAAATTTCCCTGAGAGATCCTTAAAATGATAGGATAACAAAGCATTGTATCCTGAATCAATATCTACTGCTTTTACTTTAGAAACCAAGTGTCCAGGCTGAACTGTCTTGGGAGTTTTTATTGTCAATGCAGGAAAAAGTGGCATAAAAGAAGGAGCATTGTCATTGATATCTTCAATAAAAATGTTCAGAGTAAGATTCGAATTAAGCGGAGGTAGACCAGCATCAGTTGCTTTTATGTGACACTGGAAATAAGTCACTTGTTCATGGTCAAAAGAAACTAAAGCAAATACTTTTCCATTCTCTGGATTGACTGAGATATAGGAAGATATCGGGATCCCATCAACAGTGCTGTCACTAACAGAATATGTGATGAAGGAATTCTGCCCGATATCTGGGTCAGATGCCGATACAGTATACACATGAGAACCTGGTGGGTTGTTTTCTTTGATAAAAATAGTATCATAAGGTTTTTGAAACAATGGGGCATTGTCATTCACATCACTAATATCAATTTTAAGAATCTTTGAAACTGATAGTATATTGGTGTTCCCTCATCTCTTGCTACTATTACAACTTCATACTGAGATTTTTTTTCTCGATCCAACTTCCCATTAACAATTAGGGAAAAATCACCTTTGAATGCTGGGTGTATTTTGAAGGGTGAAGAATCAATTATTTCACAGCTAACTTTTCCATTTAAATCTGAGTCTTGATCATGCACGCTTATGATGGCAACTGTTGTTCCTTGTGGAGAGTCTTCAGGAACAGGAACAGCAAGGGAAGTTACTGTCATCTCAGGGGGATTGTCATTTACATCTACAACAGTCACTAGGACTTTACAATGTCCAACCAATTGGATATCCCCATTATCCACAGCATCAATTTGTATTTCATACATTTGTACTTGTTCAAAAATCCACTTCCCCAATAACTTTTAGTTCCCCTGTATGCTTGTCTATAGTAAACACTTTGCTGATATCTTCATTTGCTTTTTTACTAAATGTATATAATAAGTCCCCATTTTTTCCTTGGTCAAAGTCTGTGGCATTTACTTTTATTACCAATGATCCTTTAGGAGCATTTTCAATCACACTGGTTTGATAAAATGGCTGATTAAATGTTGGAGCATTATCATTAAAATCTTCCACTGTGATAATGATTTCACATGTTCCACTTAATCTTGGCTTACCACCATCAAAGGCTGTAAGTGTGAGATTGTGAACAGACTGCTTTTCTCTGTCTAGATATTTCTTTAATACAAGTTCTAATGATCTGATCTGATTCATGTATTTTTGGAAATCTAGTGTAAAATACTCACTGGCACTGAGCTCATAATTTGTAATAGCATTAGTTCCGAGATCTGGATCAACTGCTCCTTCAACATGGAAATGAGATCCTGCAGGCATTACTTCAGAAATGACAAGGCTACTCACAGAAGATGGGAAGGCTGGTCTATTGTCATTTACATCTTCTATCTCTATATCTGTTCTATACATCTGTACAGGTTTATCTACTATAACCTGCAGAGGAATAATGCACAACTGTATGCCTGGACACAGCAGCTCTCTGTCTATTGTCTCTTTAACAAACAGAATTCCATTTTGTAGATTCACCTGGAAATATTCCTTTTCATCTCTAGAAACAACACGTAACATCCTGGAATTAATCTCACCTAAATCCAGTCCCAGGTCCTGTGCAATTCTTCCAACAAAGGTGCCATGTTTGGATTCCTCTGGGATAATATAATGCAGCTGACTCAGGACCACATCCAAAGACATTTGAAGCAATAAAAAATGGATCAGTCTGGTTTTCTCTTGATAACACAGGATTGTGTTGGACATATCTTAGATTCACGGAAGCTGAAGATATATTAGTAAGGATGGCATTAACATTTACTGGAGATCCACAGCCGAGAATAAAAAACCCAGCATGTCCGATGTCTTTACACTAAGCTATTCAGCATCAACAATGGAGAAAAATATACAGTCATCATCTTCCTGCTATAAATTGGTGTATACTGACATCTAGTGCCTAATATTCAAGTTGCACCTACAGTGGTAGCTAAATTGTAAGTTACTTTTTTAAAGCATGTTCTATTTTATAATGGCATGTTTAGAAAACAATGTAAATTTTCCCTTATAAAATATTATGTTATAATAATATATATTATTATAAATGTGCTATGCTAATAAAACATTTCCAGTTCTCTGTTTTAATATAAATATTCCTATTTTTTCCATGTACATGGCAGTTTCATTTGTGGCAAGCATATTCTTTCACCTTTTACTGAATTGGCTTCTGCATTTTTTTAAAGCAAATATATGATGAGGCCCAATTTTCAAATATGTATATAACTCATTTATAGAACTTTTTCTGCAATGCAGCTACATATATTATTACTTGCTAATGTAGCATTAACGATTAAACATTTTAATACATTTCAAATAATACAACACTCTGAACTCAAACGTAAGCAGGAAATAATAACATAATAACTGTAATTGTTTTTAATTTGATATTTTGCAGAAGAATACTGTAACTATTTTTTAATAAGACATGCAAAGCTTACTTGTAGACTTTTGACAGCAGCACAGATTTATCAACTCTATTTCATATTGGTGAGATGTAGGTGTCTCTTGTTGTGATATCTTAATTGCTTTGTTGTATGGATTTAAAATAACATTTTTATGTTGTTTTTGTTTATATTTACTGTTATGTTATTTATATTTTGTAATTCAGGCCTCCAAAAACAATTAATAATGTTTTCCATTAAGTGCCAAAAATCTGGAATATAGTTAACATAAATTTCAAAATTGTGGTTTTAACTAGCAGATGGAGTGCTAGACTGTTTTTCGTGTGTTTACTAGGCTGATTGTATCTTCTATTTTGTAAAATAATGTTGTTACAGACATAAGTATTAGTCCAAGTTTAAATTATAGAAAGAGCTGAATGGGTCAAGATAGTAAGTTATCCAACTAATTGTGCTGTCACTCTGCTCTGTATGGATGTATGCTGAAACTCAATTAAAAAGATGCAGACTGAAAGCAACTATTGCTGTGCTCTGTCTTTTGAAACTCATAATGCACTGCAACACCATTTTCTTGGCTGCACATGTTATTAATAATGTATTTGCAAAAAAGATATCAATAGAAAAAATATTTAAAATCAGTAAAAGAACATAAAAACTATACAAAAATAGTTTTTACTTTAAAATAAATTAGTCAGGGTAGAAATTTTGGATATACCATGTTTTTGAAGGGCCATAATCCTCATCTTTGCTTAAAAACTTGTGGAGTCAATGACCCAGAACATGCATGCACCATACTGTTTTAGTATTCTGAACAAACCATCAATGGCAGCACCCATATTTTCAACCTGGCAGTTTCACTTGAAGTAACTTTGTGTACAAACAAGGATTTAGCCAAATATGTTCTATCTAAACTTAATGAGATGAAGACTCAACTAGAAGTCCATACTTGTCAAATGTATTGTACATTTGTCCCTTCCTATTGTATTTTTCTTCACTACTGATTTTTTTTTTCTAGTATTCCACCAGAGACATATAAAATTCACTACAATACAGTTATACACCCCTTACAAACAACATTCTCTAGCATTCTTAATTGTGAAGAAATGATGCTCATGTATGAAATGTAAATAATTGAGGTGTTTAAGTTGTTTTTTGTATTTGGCTATTTTAACCACTTCAAGTCTGGACACTTTTACCCCCTTCCTGTCCAGGCCAATTTTCACCTTTCAGCACTATCACACTTTGAATGACAATTGCGCGGCCATGCAAGACTGTACCCATATGAATTTTTTAACATTTTTTTTTGACAGATAAAGCTTTATTTTGATGGTATTTATTCACCACTGGAATTTTTATTTTTTTTTGCTATATAAATGAAAAAGTCCAAACATTTTGAAAAAAAAAGTGTTTTTTTATAAAATTTTGCAAATAAATAATATTTCATCATAAATCTTTGCCAAAATGTATTCAGTTATCTTTTTAGAAAAAAAAATTAGTTTATAACCAAAAATTATAATTTTTAAACATTTTTTTTTTAACTTTTTTATTTTTTAATGTTATTATTTATGTTTTTTTTTTTACATACTGTCACCCTAGCAGTACAGTGTCACCATAGTGACACTGTACTACATGTGGGGGGGGGGGGGTAATGAAGATTTTTTTTTTTTTTTACACTGATTGCTGTTACACCCAGAAAGGCTGTAAAAGTAATAATTTCTCCTTCTCTCTGAATGCATTCTTGCAGCCATTGAGAAATGTGTGAGCTGTGACTGTTATGAATAGCCTTGTACCATGTGACCTATGTAATCATTCACATATTTCACACGTAGTAAGCAATGATGTCAGAAGTGACATCTTGCTTACTGTTCTGCATGTGACCATTGATTGGCCAATCAGTGATCACATGATCGGGACCTCGCACAGAGGTCACGTACGACGATCGGTGTTCCACTGTGTTTGGAAGACATAGCGGGCACCAGATCGCTCCCAGGGAGCGCGCACAAGCAGGGGGCGGGGAGGCCATTTACAAATGGCCACCCACCCCTGCACTGCCACTGTCCAGACGGGAGGTGGTTAAATAAAATAAAATGTATAAATAAATACATTAACAATAAAAGTTGAATACCAAAAACAAAAGTTTACAAATCTATAATACTTCATTTAAATAATATGTAAAATGTCCAAAAAACCACAAATTAATTATAAAGGTTCTCCTTTCCTGTTCACCTGTTAACATCCCTAGCTAAGAAAGAAAAATATTAAATATCTAAAAAACTTTATTTAAATTATGTGTACAATTGCATAAAACTCCAATTAATTATGTATAATGCAATAACCAAATAACCTAAAATTGTTGGCAATTGCTGTTCTTTTATGTAAATTCTTGATATTCTGTGAATGCGTATTATTTTTTAATTCTTATTTCCATTAACACCTCTAGCCATAAAAATAAGTGCCACTGCTGGCTGTGGATATGAAAAGAGGAAGTGAGGAACTGAAGTGGAGGATCTTCCTTACATGCTACATACTGTGCATCCTAAGTATCTTTCAGTAGGTACAGTAGCTGCTACCTATTACAAAAAATTGCATGCACAGAAAAAAGATAACATTCTTCAGGACTAAGCTTGAAAGAGAGGACACTAATAAATGCAATAATTAACGTAATAGAAACAAGAAAATAAATAGAAGTTCTAGTCAAGTAGGACAGCATGAAACAGGACTAAAGGCATGAACCTGACCAGGAACTTGGTCTATACGAGTCCATTTTTCTTTGAAACTAAAATTAAAATTACACATAATGACTAGATTGTTTTTTATCTTTGTGACTGTAAATTACATTGGCTTTCTTTCTTAGAAATAGATGATCAAATATATATATCTATCTATCTATCTATATCTAGATATAGATATATATATATATATATATATATACAGTATATATATATTTGATAATATATATATATATATATTTATAAAAATCAAAAGAATACTACATTTACCAATAAACCAAAAAATAATCATATCAATTTCAACTGTCAACATTTAAAAATAAAAAGTGGAACAAAACTTTCCTATCCTTAATGGCCAAGAAAGCTGCCATCTTAACCTGCGTTCACTCCAAATCTCATGCACTTCTGCATAGAAACCAATCATCTTACAGATTTTATTGCTAAAGCTTAATTGAACAAGCTGAGCTGAGAAGCTGACACAGGTGCATGAGACTCTAAGTGAAACAGCTTTAGTAAATAAACCCCACCATGTCAAACAACATAAAAGCAAAATTCCCAGCTCAACTTTTGTACTTATGACACCAGCCTTTTGATAAGTATGAGTGTTCAGTTGAGAGCATAAGCACCTGTGACAGTTATCGTTCACACCATGCATTGATTGTAACTGTTTTGGGAAACAGTTCAATTGATGGGTTTACTTCCACTTTAACCTATTGGTTAATAGGCTTAAAGTGGCAAAATGAGATGCTTTTCTTTCATTCATTTTTTTTTCTTTCACATTTCAGGGTACCGATGTTTTTAAAGAATTTAAGTCAGAAAGAATTTTCTAAATTGTAGTTTTTAATGCCATGATAACTTAAGACCTAAAACCTCACAATCCAGTTACCACCACTGTTGCAAATAGCAAAAAACCACTATCAGGACCACACACCTGACCTTGTGTATTCAAATCCTGAATAGGTAAAAATTCATTGTGAATGCATTTCAACTAAACGTAGTCTTGATGAGGGGTGAGTGGAATAATTTTGCCTTTATTGTAATTTTTCAAAATTTGCTTCTAATTGATTCCAGGGTAGTTCACATAAATTTCCTGAGCAGAAAGTAGAGGTGAGGGAAAGTAAGCTTTTTCAATATGCAGGATATTTTGGTGAAATGCAATACAGTCACTTAGACGCATATTTTGCCAAAGTGCTGTTGATGTTCAATTCTCTAGTTTCACATTAAACTCCATTTTTCCTGAATTGTTCTGCTCATAAAAAATCTTAATCTTAGTGATGTATTGAGATATTGTACTAAAATGAACCCAGCTTTATACAGATTTCTGCATGTGCTGCCTTTTGAGGGGTTTATATGTAATCTCCATTAACAAATGTAAATAGATATTTGAATAACTATATTCTAAGCAAGTCACAAGTTTAGAGGTATTAGATATTGGTGCACATGTATGGGAAACAAGGGTTCAGGTTTAGTAGTGTGATATAATGAATAACCAGATAACTTTGAAGTGTAGGAATGTATTGATGTACTGTACATGTGGGTGCCACCGACAACTTGCTATCATTAACCAGTGATACTGTATGCAAGAAGGGATGTCAATTAGTTTAATAACCTTATCCCAGACTCCATTGGGCTGAAATAATTATTTAGGCCAGGCCATTTAAATCTCTTTTGTTTTCACTATATCCATTTCAAAGGACCCCTCTTTAGATACATTTACCTGTCATAATTATTGTAATTAAAAATACACACCTAATATTACTTAAGCATAATATATAAAAAAACTTCATACCGCATGTTTATTATTTAAACACATGAGTTCTATGATCCTTAGTTAATATCCACTGAAATATCTTGAACAAATTGATATAAACGCATAAGATGTAAAGAGATTGCACATTTTTCACCTACAGTTGAATACATTGTTTACATCTTTACCGGGATAATTTAATAGTGTTGTTTAGAGAGCTCAAAGTCAAAGTTTATATTATTGAGAGAGATGAATAAGAGGCATGAGTTATCCCTTGCTCTTTCATTGTACTCTGTGTGGCTTGGTACTGACATTCATTTAGAGAAAGACAGTCTGAATGTAATTCAGACTATTTTCTGTTTTAAGTAAACCCATAATGCTGTAAACATCAGCATCATAATTGTCTTGACAGTTTTTATATTAAGTACATTTTTACTACAAATAGTAAAGAAAAGATTAGCTCTTACAAACCTAACAAAATTAAAGTCAAAATGGTAATAGTTTCCTTTAAAAAAAATATGTGAGGGTAGGAATATATTCATACGGTAAAATATTTATAAATACTTTTAATTTATGTTTTGTCATAGCCTAATATCACCTTAATGCTTATTACTATGAAATACCTCTCCTTTTCATGGACACTTCTACTCAGGATCAATAAATGTGGTACTACTTTTTTTACCTGTTACATATAAATATATACATCTGTTATGTTATTCTTGTGTTCCAGGTCCTAAGGTTCACCAAGAAACTAAACACATTTCTGTAGATATTTGTGACCTATTATACAAAATTATACAAATTGCATTCCTCGGCCTGGTTTATGGTTTGGTGGAGAGTACACTAATAAACCCAGTTTTTAGTTCCATGAGAAAAAAATATTATAACGTTGGCCAAGTGGTAAAGGACAACCAAAAGTATTTACCAAACTTTCTAAGGTAACAAAATAAAAAGGGGAATATTTATAAAGCAATACATGTGACATTCACCTAATATTCACTGTAGGTTAATCTTCTTGATGCATATCTTTTTGATTTACATGAAATTATAAACTACCCATGAATGTTTGATGAAAGTCACATTGTCTGCTTTATAAATATGCCCCAAAGTATTTCACGACTAGTTTCCAGATTCTTTAAAGAACAAGACTTAACTAAGCTGATTTAATTATGGAATTGAATTCTTTTTAATATTCTGTTTTATTGTTCAGTCGTGTGAAAGACAAATATCTGGGGTTTTTTTTTTCTTATCTTCACATAATTGTGTTTTAAAGCAAACCCAACTACAATTTGATGTGTAAAGATTATAAACACCTGTAGTAAATCAATCTCAATAAATCAGTTTAATATTTAAACATATTTAATCTCATATTATTGTGAACCAATTGAACAGCAAGCTGTGGGAAACGAGATGCTTTTCTTCCAATTTTATAGTATCAAGCACATTAAGTCTTTGCTGATTACTGATAATAGTAAAATATTTTGTCAAACAGCCACTGACATAAATTGATATCTTTTTATTTTAAATTGACTCAAGTAAGTCACCCTACTCAGGTTTCGGGACAACAGAAATCATCAGTGTCTCTGTAAGCCTGAAAAAACAAATGATCAAGAGTAGGGATAAGCCAGTTTAATACATTTACTGTACATCACAAGCCTGCATAAACACCCAGATGTCTGTGCACAAAGTGATCATAATCCCTGAACCTAGCTAATCACATACTGATGTCCAATGTGTACCCTTTGGTTCTAGATTGCTGTGTGTGTTGAACATTTAAATAATGTTGGTTTTGTGCCTTCTGATGAAATCAAATGCAAATGTGTCAACATTTACCTGAGAAAGAAAAACATTGTTTAAAACCTAATACAAGAAAAGTATGCAAGTATTAGGCGAAGCAGCAGATCTATAAACCATGTGCACCATGTTATCCAGAAATGTAGCATGTCAAATAGAACTCAATTCCAAACAACAGTTTATGAAACTATCAGTAGATAAAGCTGCTCCTAAAGACCCCATCAATCCTGTACTCCAGCTCACTGGGGCTGATTCCTCTGAGGTCTGTTTCCTCAATACATAATTTGACAAAATCCTGGAACTGCACACCACTTTCAAAGCTTAAAAGCAACTTTAGTCATATTTCTTCACCCCTCCTCCCCCCCAAACCCCATCTCTCTTTCGGACCTCTTTAGAGTTTCGTCCTGGTCTCCTAGTTTTTTTCTATCCTTTTTAATCCTTCCTAGCTGCTTAAATTATTTTTTTTGAACACTTTCCTTATTTCTGATAAAGAACATATTGAATATAAAGAAATTAATCAAATGTGGAAAGGGACAAGAGTGAAGAAAAATAATAAATAAACATCCTACCTAAGTTCAGGGATTGCTATGAAAATACAATAGGAATGTTTAAAATATTTGTAATAAACATGTTAGTTTTAATGTGGTAATGAGGCAAGGGGGTATTTGAGCATAGTGAAATGTTTGGTAATGGGAGAGATGTTAGTATACCTTTTAGAACTAAATTATATTTTACATGGAGAGTGTATATGCAGTATACCATTTATTACTCAATATCCTCCATGGGAGCAGTGTCTATGTTTGTGTATTTGCTAACCAATAAATTTGATTTTACCCTTTGGAAGTAGTGTGTGGCTCCAGGACACTGTTCAACAGTGTATGTCATCTTGATCATGCGCTTGTGTATAAACGTCTGCACATCCACATAAAGATATGAAAACGGACAATAAAATGACCCCACCTACAGTTTACCAAGGTTTTGTTAAAAATTTGTGTTGTTATTCCTATATATTCATGCATGGTTGTGCGCATTTAAAAATCTTAACAATAAGATAAACATTTGAAAAAGAATGGATTTTTATTTTTAATCACTTTAGCTTGTATATTTTTATTGCTGGAAGGTACATCCCATACCAAATCACAATTTTGTAGTAAATTCAGCATATGTTGACTAAAACCTATGTGTGCCAGTGTCCACTGGGTGCATAGTAAATGCTGCATGGATACAATATGGTTGTTGGTGTATGACTGATATTCTGGTATACATGCATGTTATTTAGTAAATCAGGCACTGCCAGTTATTAATAAATCATGAAGAAAGACAATGACCCTTATTTACTAAAGTAATAGAGTATGTTCACTATGAAAGTGAATTTTTCCATTTGCAAAGCCCTGATTATCAGTGCAGCCCCAAAAGTGCCCATCAGTGCCCAAAAGTGCTGCACATCAGTGCTGCCCATCAGTTCCCAACAGTGCTGCCCATCAGTGCTGCCCATCAGTGTCAAACAGTGCTGCCAATATGTGCCCATCAGTGTCACCAGTCAGTGCCACCTATTAGTGCCGCCATTCAGTGCAGTCAGTCAGTGCTGCAAGTCAGTGCCACCAGTCAATGCCCTTCAGTGCTACCTATTAGTGCCCATCATTGCTGCCTATCAGTGCCCATCAGTGACGCATATCAGTGCAGCATCATCAGTGTCTCCTCATCAATGCCCATCAGTGCCGCCTCATCAATACAACCTTTCAATACCCATCAGTGCTGCCTCATAAATGCACAAAAAAAACTTTTTTAATTCAAAATGTGCGGTCCAGACACTTTCACTCCCTTCCTGTCCAGGGCAATTTTCAGCTTTCAGCGCTATCACACTTTGAATGACAATTGTGCGGTCATGCAACACTGTACCCACATGAATTATTTTAGCATTTTTTTGAGACAGATAAAACTATATGTTGGTGGTATTTATTCACCACTGGGATTTTTATTTTTTTGCTATATAAATGAAAAGTCCAAACATTTTGAAAAAAAAAAGTGTTTTTCTTATAACATTTTGCAAATAAATAATCTTTCTTCATAAATCTTGGTCAAAATGTATTCATCTATCTTTTTAGCAAAAAAAAATAAAATAACCCAAATTAGTTTATAATCAAAAATTATAATTTTTCCAAAAAATATTAAAAATTTTAATTTTTTAAAATATTATTATTTATGGTTTTTTTTTAACATACTGTCACACATAGTGGCACTGTACTACTTGTGTGGGGAGTCATGAAGATTTCTTTTTTTTTTACACTGATTGCTTTTACACCCATAAAGGCTGTAAAAGCAATCATTTCTCCTTTTCTCTGGCTGCATTCTTGCAGCCATTGAGAAATACTGTGTGAGCTGTGATTGGTCACAGCTTGTCACATGGTACAAGACTATTGTGAATAGCCTTTTACCATGTGACTGCTGTGATCATTCACAATTTCACCAGTAGTAAGCAATGATGTCAAAAGTGACATCTTGCTTACTACTATTCATGTGATCACTGATTGGCTAATCAGTGATCACATGATCGAGATCTCACAAAGAGGTGCCGTACAGCGATCGTACAGACACAGTGGGCACCGGATTGCAGTGCCATGCGCTCCCAGGGAGCGCACACAGGTGGGGAGCAGGGAGGATGTTTATAAACAGCCACCCATTCCTGCAATGTTCCCTTCCGGCCATTTATATACATGGGCTGGACGGGAAGTGGTCAAATACCACCAAAAAAAAGCTCTATTTGTGTGAACAAATGATAAAAATTTCATATGGGTACAGCGTTGCATGACCACGCAATTGTCATTCAAAGTGCAACAGCTGAAAATTGGCCTGGGCAGGAAGGGGGTAAAAGTGTTCAGTAGGCAAGTGGTTAATTAATAGTCAGTAATAAAACAATTATATCTAATTCTATTTTCAACCCCCCTGGAGTTAAAGATTCTAGCTGATAAATCCATTTGGTTTCCCTCCTGGAGAGATCCCTAATACAAATTGATCCTTTCCGTGAAGGATACACCCTATTCACATCCCAAAACTATAAACCTGAAGGGTCCCTCCCATGTGCTAAAATCTAATGAAATTTTATGCTGCTTAGAACAATTTCTAATATTTTGTACATGTTCTGCTATGCATTTCTTTAATGGTCATATTGTAGGCCACAGGAACATTGAAGTACATAAACCACATATGTGGTATTACATGTGATGAATTCTCCAATTTCAAAATTCTTATTTTCTCTTGCAGAACTAAATTGAGCGTGCTTCCTTCCAGTGTTATTCACACTCCTACATGCTATACATTTCTGAAATGGAAAAAATAAAAATTTCTCTCCAAAAAAAAAAGGATTGCCTACTCAAGGGGGTCCAATATTTTTTTCATCAGCCAATTCTCAAAATGTTGGGCTTTTCTGTAAATGAATTGGGGGGTAATCTGGTAACACTAGACCTAAATCTTCGACCATACATTGTATATGCCAGTGCTTTCCTTTATAAATTTTCAGTAATGTGTATATGATGGGAAACTGACATACACTAGGTATCAAATGCCTCCTTTCTAAATATTGCTTAACCACTAATTAAACAGACGTACCTGAGACCAAGTAACCCATACCAAACATAGCAATGTCAGTATGTACTTGTTACCTTGATAATGACACAGTGACCAAGTTGACTACCAAAATCATATTTACATTATATCTAAGGACATTCAAGGCTTTTTGCCACAACATTGATAGAAATATTTACTGTTTTGTTGTTTTCTTTTAATCTAGACAAAAGATGACAAAAAAGGCAAAAAAAAAAGTTTTGATTACATTGTTCATAAGAGCTTTTAATCACTTTCTAATTTTTCTTTTTTTAAAACGGTGGGGTTGATTTACAAAAGGAAGATAGACTGTGCACTTTGCAAGTGCAGTTGAACTCAGAGCTTAATGTATGTGTTAAAGCTTCACATTGCAAAAAATACCCAATCAGGAACAAGGAAAAAAGAAGACAGCATTTTTGCTTGCACATGATTAGATGGTGAAAATAAGCAGAGAATTATCACATTCAATACACTCTGTGAAAAATGAGTGCAACTGCACTTGCATAGTGCATAGCCATTTTGTCTTTAGTAAATTAACCCCATTATATTGTATAGTGATCTCACTGTTTGAAATGTGATACAGCAATCAGTAATGACCTTTAACATATGATTCCCAGTTACAAGTAGTCTACACAAGTGAGTTGGCACCTATGCACAGGAGCCTATCTGTAGTTTTACATCATCAGGAGCATATCCCACCTTTTCCTCCTTCTAATACTGGGATTACACTGATGGAATCATCATCAAGCAAAGGGCCTAAGCAAAAGAGAAGCTAAAGAATTCCTATTGTACGCACGATATTCTTTTACAACTGACTTATCTTCCACTGTTTGGTGAAAAAGGTTGCCCGATACTAGGTACTACTGTTTCACATCAGTCTTGTATGATACTGTTAACTTGTATCTTAACATTTGTCCTTTTTAGTAAAGTTATTTTAGTTAATTGGACTGAATAGGTTTTTAATGCATCATAATGATGAAAGAAACAAATAATGATTTTGCTATGTAAACAGTAAAGAGAGCAATACTTTTATTCAAACTTACCTGATATGATGCACTTAGCAGAGCCCCGGGTTGGTTTGCATGCTCTTCACTATTTGGCATTTGAGAGCTATTTGGAGTGAAAACTATTAAGTCACTTTTTCGTTGTAGTGAGTTTGAACATACTCTGTACTGTGTTTCTTGAGAGTATACCCAACTACCTCCAGTGTTTGAACAGATCCTGTAATTTTCCTTCAGGTCTTTCACCTCATCTCTGCATTTTTGCCATCTTAAAACAGTAAAGGCAATTAATGTAATGAGAAATACACTTGATATTACACAGATGGCAACAACTAAGTAGATATTTGCTTCAGTAAATTCTTCCATAATTCCTTTGGATTCCTGATTATCATACAGAATTTCTTCTCCAAATTCCACCAAAGAGATAACAATTTCTGTAACCGCTGTCATGACTGGCTCACCATGGTCTCGAGCCACCACCATTAGTCTATATTCTTCATTATCTGACTCTGTAAATGCCCGCTTTAATCCAATTTCTCCTGTTTGCTGAGATATAACAAATGGAGCTTTTCCTGAGAGGTCCTTTAAATGATAAGACAACAGAGCGTTGTATCCGGAATCATTATCTACTGCTCTCAATTTAGTAATTAAGTGTCCGGGTTGAATTGTTTTTGGAGTTCTTATTGTCAATGCAGGAAAAAGTGGCATGAAAGTGGGAGCATTGTCATTGATATCCTCAATAAAAATATTCAGTGTAAGGTTTGAGATAAGTGAAGGAAAACCAGCATCAGTTGCTTTTATGTGACACTGGAAATAAGTCACTTGTTCATGGTCAAATGAAACTAAAGCAAATACTTTTCCATTCTCTGGATTGATAGAGACATAGGAAGATATGGGGATCCCATCAACAGTACTGTCACCAATGGAATATGTGATAAAGGAATTCTGCCCCACATCTGGGTCAGATGCTGAAGCTGTATATACATGGGAACCTGGTGGATTGTTTTCTTTGATAAAGATTGTATCAAAAGGTTTATGAAATAATGGGGCATTGTCATTCACATCACTAATATCAATTTTAAGAATCTGTGACACTGACAGTGGTGGTGTTCCCTCATCCGTTGCTAGTATAACAACTTCATAGTGGGATGTTATTTCTCGATCCAACTTCCCATTCACTGTTAAAGAAAAATCTTTCTTGAATGCTGGATGTATTTTGAAGGGTGAAGAATCAATGATATTACAGCTAACTTTTCCATTTAATCCTGAATCATGGTCATGGATACTTATGATGGCCACAGTTGTTCCTTGTGGAGAGTCTTCAGGAACAGGAACAGCAAGTGAAGTTACTGTCATCTCAGGGGGATTGTCATTAACATCTATAACAGTCACTAGGACTTTACAATGTCCAACCAATTGGATATCCCCATTATCAACAGCATCTATTTGTATTTCATACATTTGTGCCAGTTCAAAATCCACTTTCCAATCACTCTTATTTCCCCAGTATTCTTGTCCAAAGTGAATACTTTGCTGACATCATCATTTGCTTTTTTACTAAATGTATACATTAAGTCTCCGTTTTTCCCCTGGTCTAAATCTGTGGCATTTACTTTTATTACTAATGATCCTTTAGGGGCATTTTCAATCACACTGGCTTGATAAAATGGATGATTAAATGTTGGAGCATTGTCATTAAAATCTTCCACTGTGATCATGATTTCAGATGCACCACTTAATCTTGGCTTACCTCCATCATAGGCTGTAAGTGTGAGATTGTGAACAGACTGCTTTTCTCTGTCTAGAGATTTCTTTAATACAAGCTCTAATGATTTGATTTGATTCATATATTTTTGGAAATCCAGTGCAAAATAATCACTGGCACTGAGTTCATAATTTGTGACAGCATTTGTTCCAAGATCTGGATCAATTGCTCCCTCTATATGAAAACGAGCTCCTGCAGGCATTACTTCAGAAATTACAAGATTACTCACAGAGGATGGGAAGGCTGGTCTATTGTCATTTATATCTTCTATTTCAATGTCTACAAGATACATCTGTACAGGTTTATCCACTATAACCTGAAGAGGAATAATGCACAACTGTATGCCTGGACACAGCAGCTCCCTGTCTATTGTCTCTTTAACAAACAGAATTCCATTCTGCAAATTCACCTGGAAATATTCCTTTTCATTTCTAGAGACAACATGTAACATTCTGGAATTAATCTCACCTAAATCCAGTCCCAGATCCTGTGCAATTCTTCCAACAAAGGTGCCATGTTTGGATTCCTCCGGGATGATATAATGCAGCTGACATAAGACCACGTTCCAAGACATTTGAAGTAACAAAAAATGGACTAATCTGTCTTGATATTGCAAGTTGGTGTTGGACATATCTTAGAATCACTGAAGCTGAAGGTTGTAATTTCCCCAGTAAGGATGACATTAACATTTGCTGAAAATCCACAGCAGAGAATCAAAAATTCCAGCATGGCCGACGTTGTTGCAGTATGGTATTCAGAATCAGCAACAGAAAAATATATTCAGCCCTCGCCTTTCTGATATACGTTGGTACAGAGTGACATCTAGTGCCTAATATTCAAGTTGCGTCTTGTTTGAGGAACTAAATTGTAAGTTTACATTAAAAGAACACTTTTCTTTTAAAAGTCAATTTTAGAATTAATTATAAAAAAAAACCTTGGTTTTATTGTTGCACATATTTTCCTTAGCAGAACATTTTTTATATTTCAAAGGCCAAAAGACTATTACATGTATGTTATTTATGATTGATTACTTTCTTGAGGTTATATACCTTTATCTTTTAAATGTGTAAAATGCAGTTTCTAGGGAACAAAGAGCTAATAGGCATATGGTTTGCACATTTTATAACAACAAAGGTCAAAGATTCACTAAAACATTTTCTACACTTAATTCTAAATAATATTCTTATTAAATAGTATAGCTTGCGCTTTTGAAAAAACAGACTTACTGGGGAAGATTTACTAAAACTGGAACACTTAGAATCTGGTGCAGCTGTGCATGGTAGCCAATCAGCTTCTAACTTTAGCTTGTTCCAGTAAGCTTTGACAATAAAACCTGGGAGCTGATTGGTTTCCATGCAGAACTGCACCAGAT